ATAAACCCACTGTTTCCCAAACATGCATGCCGTAAGAGTCGATTAATCAGGGATTTCCTTCGAAGCCGGAATATATCAGTTCCCGAAAAAAGACAAAATTCTAATATTGAAAGAATAACCGGAATTTTGAGCCGGGTTTACAGCCGGTGAACACGAAGAAGAAAAGAAGATAAAGATAACACCGCTATGTTTGAAACAAAGCCCGCCAAAGAAGCTGCCGGATCAGAATTGCAGTGCCCAGTCTGTCTTCCTGTTAAGGCTTTTCTCATGCACCAGCTTTGTGTGTATGAGTGTGTGGTTTAAACACAACAGAACCGTACAATGCGCGATCAATTCCCGGTGACAAAAAGTGCCATCATTCGGATGAGGATCACGCGAGCACAAATCCCAGAAACCCCGTTCAACCGTTTAGTTATATTAGGGCCGCCGACTACAACCGGGATAAGGCTTTACAATAACGAAAAATTCAATCCTCCATGGGGACAGAAAAGGATCAGCTGCCAGCTAAGGCTATGGGTCTGACCTGTACCCCCATAACAGGAACTGTTTATACTGCAATAGCTCGTCTTTAGAAATAAGGCTATTATCCTCCCCAAAACGCTTCTCTACCCGAAGCTGTTGACACAAGTTGGATGTCACGCTTGATATACACCGTTCATAACCACTGAGTTCCCCTACCAACTATCTTATACAGTTAAAGAAGCTTTCTGTGATTTGCTCCTGTTGAATTCACATCAGAATACTGACTGCTTGAGTCACTTGATATCAATCATTCAGTCTGCAATCATAAAGTAGAGATCCCCTTTTCACGCCTTGGGCGCAACGGGCATTGGGAAGAGAATCCCATATTTTTATTGATCAATCGGCACCAGACGGGTAATGTGGTCAGCCTTACGCCGGCCGTCTTTACTTCCCCATGACAGCCATCCTGGTACTCATTTTAGGCTGGGTCGACCTGCGACTCCCCATAACATGATAAAAATCCACGCAGCCAGCAGTGGGTTTCGATCACGGTACGTTGGAATTATAGTCGGATTGGCAACGCCTAAGCAATAGATGCTACATAGTCTGCAAACATTGGGGGTGGGGGGGGGGATGGGTTTGATTGGTATTCCAATAATGGCTTATTGAGTCACGAGGTGTCAATCTTCCAGGATGCAGAAATGAAAAGGATATTTAAAAAAACAGAATTTCCCTTCTACAGTTTTGTTTTGTGGCCTTTCTACGCCAGATGAGAAACTCGTCCCAGTTTTCCAAAAACCCATATTTCAATGGCCTGTCTCTGCTGGACTTGCTTGTATTCAGGATTCCGGCGACGGGACAGTTTTATATCACACATGTCCCCCAATATTAGATGCTCCTCTTTCCGCAAGTCTGGATCGTTGACTAAACATCTCGTGATTTGTTTGGAAGTGAGTGGGGGCGGGAAGACATCAACCTCCTGGCTGTGAGCTCTTTTTAAAATTAGGACTGGAAACGGGGCCAAGCATTGATTAACATCAACATTACCAACGAAACAATATTCTTATTCGAATATCGATTCCGTCCAATTTCCAGTTTTTTTTTTTTTTCCTTTACGGTGTTTCTTCGTCATTCTGGTTATTTGTTTAGTTTTCAGTTGGTTTGGGTTCGTTTTGGAGAAGGATAGTTTTAACTGCTCACGGATATCTAACAGTGCCTCAGTCTAGATCTCAGTTCCTCTTGTTCAGACGGGCGATGATAACATGGAGGAGAAGGAGAAGGATTTAAAAAAAATGAAAAAGGAGCAGCAGCAGCAGCAGAAGAAGAAGAACAAGAACAAGAACACGAACAAGAACAAGAAGAAGAACAAAAAGAAGAAGAAGAAGAACAAGAAGAAGAAGAAAAAGAAGAAGGATGAGGAATATGAGGGAATGGAAAGGAGGAGTAGGAGGTTGAGAAAGTCAATGCCGCCATACACACACAAAAACCACTCTATTATGCCCCCCGATATCTTCTCGGATTGAAATGTAATGGCTGAAATCAAGCAGAGAATTGCAAAAGCAAATTCTTCTTACAAGAGACTGGAGGTCAACCATCTACAGCACTAAAACTAAACTCAGGATATACAAAACATGCGTTAGGACAGTTCTCCTCTATGGAGAGGAAACTTGGAAAACAGACAGAAGGATAAAGAGCATGCTCGGAGGTTTTGAGAAAAGACTTCTCATAAAATTGTTGTGGTTCACATGGAAAGATCAAATCTGCACTTCTAGAGGCTAAACTCGAGGCTACGCGAAGGACAAAACTGAGTGGCGACAGTTTGTCTCTGCCTTATGTACCTCTGGGCTCGACGAGGATTGATTGATTGATTGATGCCCCCTTACAAAACCTCCATTGCCACCAGACAAAAACTCTGGTACTCATAGCTGTGCCGTTCTCTCCAGTTTATAATCTGTTCGTGCCTCCGTATATTATTCACAAGCTCCCAAAGGGCCTTGACCGAATCTAGCTTATGACGAATAACTTCCCCACCCATTGGTTCGGACCCAGCCAGTCTGTCTACTGTTCATTCCCCAACACTCCTAACAAATATAATATGAAAAAAAAAAGATTAGAAAAGTCACAGACACTGTTGAAGGTAGACAACCAGAAACAATGTCAGTAACAGTAAATGATACAGAGATTTAAAAAAAAAAAAAAAAAGTGAATTTCAATACATATGCTATTTTCACATTAGAAGGAAAAATGAATAGCGAAATCAACAGGCTGTATGCGAAAGTAACATCAAGCCATGTGACAACTAACAAGACTTTTGGCAAGTATACCTTTGTCTATCAAGGCAAGTCTAGTAAAAACTATATTTTGGACAACTGTATGCTACCAGTGTCAGACTTGGACCCTTACTGAATCTAATAAACGAAAAATTATAACACTAGAGATTAGATGTTTTAGAAGATCTGCAGGAATAACCGGAAGAGTTAACATTAAAAATAAAGACGTTATAAGATTAGACCCAAAACTAGCCATAGAGTTCATTAAAGTTAAAGCTTAAGTTATAGACTTTATCAAAATTAAAGTTATAGATTTGATTACAATTAAAGTTATAGAGCTTATTGCAATTAAAGTTATACAGTTTATTAAAGTTACAGAGTTTATTGAAGTTATAGAGTTTATTAAAGTTACAGAGTTTATTAAAGTTATACAGTTTATTAAGGTTACAGAGTTTATTAAAGTTACAGAGTTTATTAAAGTTATAGAGTTTATTAAAGTTATAGAGTTTATTAAAGTTATAGAGTTTATTGAAGTTATAGAGTTTATTAAAGTTATAGAGTTTATTGAAGTTATAGAGTTTATTAAAGGTACAGAGTTTATTAAAGTCATAGAGTTTATTAAAGTTACAGAGTTTATTAAAGTTATAGAGTTTATTGAAGCTAAAGTTATTGAGTTTATAAAAGTTATAGAGTTTATTAAAGTTATAGAGTTTATTGAAGCTAAAGTTATAGAGTTTATTGAAGTTATAGAGTTTATTGAAGCTAAAGTTATAGAGTTTATTGAAGCTAAAGTTATAGAGTTTATTGAAGCTAAAGTTATAGAGTTTATTAAAGTTATAGAGTTTATTGAAGCTAAAGTTATAGAGTTTATTGAAGTTATAGAGTTTATTGAAGCTAAAGTTATAGAGTTTATTAAAGTTATAGAGTTTATTGAAGCTAAAGTTATAGAGTTTATTGAAGCTAAAGTTATAGAGTTTATTAAAGTTATAGAGTTTATTGAAGCTAAAGTTATAGAGTTTATTAAAGTTATAGAGTTTATTGAAGCTAAAGTTATAGAGTTTATTGAAGCTAAAGTTATAGAGTTTATTAAAGTTATAGAGTTTATTGAAGCTAAAGTTATAGAGTTTATTGAAGCTAAAGTTATAGAGTTTATTAAAGTTATAGAGTTTATTGAAGCTAAAGTTATAGAGTTTATTGAAGCTAAAGTTATAGAGTTTATTAAAGTTATAGAGTTTATTGAAGCTAAAGTTATAGAGTTTATTGAAGCTAAAGTTATAGAGTTTATTAAAGTTATAGAGTTTATTAAAGTTATAGAGTTTATTGAAGTTATAGAGTTTATTAAAGTTATAGAGTTTATTAAAGTTATAGAGTTTATTGAAGTTATTGAGTTTATTGAAGTTATAGAGTTTATTAAAGTTATAGAGTTTATTGAAGTTATAGAGTTTATTGAAGTTATAGAGTTTATTAAAGTTATAGAGTTTATTAAAGTTATAGAGTTTATTGAAGTTATAGAGTTTATTAAATTTATAGAGTTTATTGAAGTTATAGAGTTTATTAAAGTTATAGAGTTTATTGAAGTTATAGAGTTTATTGAAGTTATAGAGTTTATTGAAGTTATAGAGTTTATTAAAGTTATAGAGTTTATTGAAGTTATAGAGTTTATTAAAGTTATAGAGTTTATTAAAGTTATAGAGTTTATTGAAGTTATAGAGTTTACTGAAGTTTTGGAGTTTATTGAAGTTATAGAGTTTATTAAAGTTATAGAGTTTATTAAAGCTAAAGTTATAGAGTTTATTGAAGTTATAGAGTTTATTGAAGCTAAAGTTATAGAGTTTATTGAAGTTATAGAGTTTATTGAAGCTAAAGTTATAGAGTTTATTGAAGTTATAGAGTTTATTAAAGTTATAGAGTTTATTGAAGTTATAGAGTTTATTGAAGCTAAAGTTATAGAGTTTATTGAAGTTATAGAGTTTATTGAAGTTATAGAGTTTATTGAAGTTATAGAGTTTATTGAAGCTAAAGGTATAGAGTTTATTGAAGTTATAGAGTTTATTGAAGTTATAGAGTTTATTGAAGTTATAGAGTTTATTGAAGTTATAGAGTTTATTGAAGTTATAGAGTTTATTGAAGTTATAGAGTTTATTGAAGCTAAAGTTATAGAGTTTATTGAAGTTATAGAGTTTACTGAAGCTAAAGTTATAGAGTTTATTGAAGTTATAGAGTTTATTAAAGTTATAGAGTTTATTAAAGTTATATAGTTTATTAAAGTTACAGAGTTTATTAAAGTTACAGAGTTTATTGAAGTTATAGAGTTTATTGAAGTTATAGAGTTTATTAAAGTTATAGAGTTTTTTAAAGTTATAGAGTTTATTAAAGTTATAGAGTTTATTAAAGTTATAGAGTTTATTGAAGTTATAGAGTTTATTAAAGTTATAGAGTTTATTAAAGTTATAGAGTTTATTAAAGTTACAGAGTTTATTAAAGTTACAGAGTTTATTAAAGTTACAGAGTTTATTAACGTTATAGAGTTTATTGAAGCTAAAGTTATAGAGCTTATTGCAATTAAAGTTATACAGTTTATTAAAGTCATAGAGTTTATTAAAGTTACAGAGTTTATTAAAGTTACAGAGTTTATTAAAGTTATAGAGTTTATTAAAGTTACAGAGTTTATTAAAGTTATAGAGTTTATTAAAGTTATAGAGTTTATTAAAGTTATAGAGTTTATTAAAGCTAAAGTTATAGAGTTTATTAAAGTTGCAGAGTTTATTAAATTTATAGAGTTTATTAAAGCTAAAGTTATAGACTTGATTGAAGTTAAAGTTATAGACTTTGTTGAAGTTACAGTTGTAGAGATTCTTAAAATAAAGTTACAGTTATTGAGTTTGGTAAAGTTTTAAAGTTTATTAAAGTTAAAGTTATACCGTTTATTACATTAAAAATTATAGAGTTTATTGAAGTTAAAGTTATAGAGTTGATTCAAATTAAAGAGTTTATTAACGTTATAGAGTTGATTAAAGTTAAAGATATGGATTTTATAAAAGTTACTTATAGAGTTTATTAAAGTTAACGTTAAAGAGTTTATTGAAGTTAAAGTTATAGAGTTTATCAAAGATAAAGTTCAAGTTTAATAAAGGTAAAGTTATAGAGTTTTTGAAACTTAAGGAGTTTATTAAAAAGCAACAGGTGAGATGGTTTGGCCAACTACTGGAAAACTCAAGTGCCAGTTGAGACAAAACGCCATACTGACGAAATATAACATACAGAACACGGGGAAGACCACGAAGAAAGTGGAACGATGGCACCAAGAACAGGCTCAAGGAAATGAAGATCAACATTTAGAAAAGAAAAGTGCCCTGCTCACCACAAAGTGTCTATTACAGTGCCTCAAAAAATGCATTAAAAAGTGCCGGCAATGGGTGCCGAAAAAAAAATACAGTAAATATAAAGTCATGTTTGTGCGTTCGTAGGCCGAGGCACTGTTCGCATCTCGAGTCAAAATTTGTTCACAAATTGTGTTCACGGGCCGATTAAACAAAAAGTGACTAGAGGCGTTAGTAACCTGAATTACGTACAAAAGTAAGGCTTACGCCCTCTTCTACCTAGAAAATATGTAAGTGGATTGAGCGCTCACCTAGCTCCCATCCCTCTGTGCCAGCGCCCTAGTTCCCAGCATCCAATCGTTCTATCTGTCCGCACCGAACTTCCGGTAAGGTTCCATGAATTCAGCCTGGCAGAATATCACGGCAGACATTTTTTTTTTCATTTCCTGATCGTTTCGTCTAGTTTTGCATTACAATGCATCATGTTTTTGATGTTTCTACTTCATCCATTGTGTGTCGCCTTCAATCATACTCGTTTTACTATAATCGTATGCACGCTATAGCTACAAGCAGGCACCACTTTTATTCCACGCGTATGGACTAATGTCATCCCCACGACCCAACCCTGGTTACGCCTTATTGGCCAACCCCTCACTCCCTCTTTAGACACTCAGTGTACGCTGTTGTGTGTGTTGACGTCTACTCGGCCCATTTTCCAGGTATACCGACCCCGTGTTTTGCTCCCTGTCCGCGCGTTTGCGAAATATAGGCTAGAACCTGTCCTAGTCATCCTTTTAAACGAAGTTTTTCGCCAGGGACACAGATTAGTATCATTTATTTTGTACATTAGAGTCCTATATAGTCACTTCATTGTTAGAGCATATTTGTGTATGTGTACTGAGTTGTTCTTTATGTGCTGATGAAGGCTAATCGCCGCAACGTCCTTGGTTTTTTTTTGTGTGATCTATTTTGTAAAGCTAACATAAACTATGCGTTTTTCTTACCAACTTTTTCACTTCCCTATAATTTTCTACCCCTTTAAAAACGCTACAGCTAGTACCTTCCCCTCTGATAAAGACTGGACAAGGTCAAGGATACGGTTTTAGAACTTGAACAGTTTGGAGTTCGATTTCTAAGGACTGATAATTAGTGGCCTTTTATGACTTGCTTGTTAGGAGTCAGTGTGGATTTCAAGCTGTACGATAGACATGGCCAATAAGACACCTTTTTTTTTTTTTTTTGGGGGGGGGGGGGGTGCCTAGTTGAACATGTTCAACCCCGTCCCCAACCCCTTCCAACAAAACGCGGTTCTCCAAAAACCACAAGGGAATATATTGTTAGAACAGTTTTAGGGAGGTTAAGCCTATAGCCGGAGGAGCGGCTGGTCGAACCATTAAGAACGCTAGGCTCTCTTGGCAGAGACCCAGGTTCGAATCCCGGGTCAGGTTATAGGCGTTGTTCTGTCAAGGGTAAAAAATAAAATCCATTAACTGTACAGTCCGTGGCGATAGCACTAGCCATGCGGCCCTTAATCCTCAGACTTAAAGACACAGCCTCCTATCAACTCCCCCCCCCCCCTTTTTTTTTTTCTCTTCCCCCCAACCACATCCCTTCCGCCCACGGGGCAAAAGTGGTAACTACATAAAGTAATGAAATGACAGCAATGAAATGACAAAAATGAAATGACCGAAATGAAATGTTTACGTACTATGCTACGTCTGACGAGGAAAGATCGACTTCGGAACGATGATATCAGGAGGAGGTGAATAGAGTTATTGCCCCTAATAGGCATGTCTTAAAAAGCGACTAATCAAGAGTATGCTGAAATTGAAAGTGTTGCACTGAATGGCGTAAATATCGCAGCTTGAAGGAAGACCATTAAAAAAATGACAAAAAGATATGAAAATAAATCATCAAAAAATACCACGAAAAGATAAAATGATACCACAAAAACGATATTACGAAAGGATATCATGAAAGCATATAATGAAAATATATCATAAAGAGATATGAAAAAATATAATGAAAACATACCATCGAAACATATGATAAAACAATGTCATGAAAACATATATAAAAATATATTGAAAAGATATATAAAAATATATGATAGTGAAATACCAAGAAAAGAAATGAGAAACAGGACTAATCGACTTCACATTATGGCAATACGAACCATAGTACAATTTGTCAAAGTCCATTTAAAGAAGAAAAAGAAAAAGAAGAAGAAGCAGTAGCAGTAGAAGAAGCAGCAGCAGCAGCAGCCGAAGAAGAAGAAGAAGAAGAAGAAGAAGAAGAAGAAGAAGAAGAAGAAGAAGAAGAAGAAGAAGAAGAAGAAGAAGAAGAAGAAGAAGAAGAAGAAGAAGAAGTAGAAGGCGAAAAAGAAGGAAAATGACTCGAACATCTTACATGTTGAAGTGTATTCACAGCAGTGCTAATTACGCATCACACGTTGTTTGGGACTAAAAGAGTTTTTGTTTTGGCGCCTATCTATTGTGTGCGTGTATGTATGTTTGTGTAGAGAGAGAGAGAGAGAAAGAGAGAGAGAGAGAGAGAGAGAGAGAGAGAGAGAGAGAGAGAGAGAGAGAGAGAGAGAGCTTCTTTGTGTGTGTGTGCATGCGTGCTTGAGTGTGTATTTCCCCGCCTGTTTGTTAGTCTCTCTATTTGTCTCTAGTATTACCAGGCTCTGCTAACCCTCCACTTTCTAATGCGTCTCTCCAACGGCATCGCCCGCGACAAAGACTCTAATTTCCCGTATTAGTCTTCGAGTCACCGGCTCCTGTCCGCACCAATTTCCTCCGCTAACGAACCCGTCTCATTGCTCGACCCCCCGCAGCTACTACCCCAGCATTCCATTTCTCGCAGCCCACCAATAATCTACTTTTTCTGTTCTTGAAGCCTTTTTACGGCAGTCGGAGTCTATTGCTAAGGCTTTGCAGCAACGTTTCGTTAATTCTCAAATTCATCGTTCGATTCCAGCTGCGGGTTATTTGAAAGCGGACTGCTTGATGTTGATTTCGACCATAGCCACACAGCGTCGGCACAGAAGCCCTTCCCCCTACCCATTTATCAATCCATCCATCCATCCATCCAGTGTATAGCTTTTCAGTTTGTCATTCCATCCAGCCGTTCATCCGTCCTCCCGTCAGTCCGTTTGTCTGACAAAAGGAAAAAAGAACAGCGGGTCACACATACCCAATTTATGACCCTTTGACAATAAAGTTCATGACCCTTTGACAATAAAGTTCATGACCCTTTGACAATAAAGTTCATGACTCTTGGACCAAAAAAAAAAAGGTTCGCTCGTTTCTGTACAATTCAACTTTAGTAATAAACCGAAATATAAATTGTACGACAACAGAGACAACGATTATTCACAACAGTAAAAAAGCAGGCGTATATGTTAAAAAGATTGATGAATGAAAGCAAGAAAGAAAGAAAGAAAGACAGCGAACAAGAAGTTAGCTTCCACTGAAAATTTTACAGATTATCTTTAAACTACCACCGCTCACGAAATATCAACAAACTGTCACTTGACTTTCACGGTTACCTCTACAATCTCTTCCTGCCCACAACACAGCAAACTCCTTACCCCTCTCCCTCCTCCTCTTTTGTCTGACAACTGGAAAGACAACAATCTTACAACAGAATAACAACATCCGCATCGATTGTTTAGTCGGAATCATCAAAGCAAACAACGGAAATTGATAACAATCTAAATCACGAAAGAAGGAATAATAAAACTTAAAAAAGAAAAGCAGAGTCGGATTTTGTCAAGACTGTTTGGCAAAATTGTCAAGAGACTTCAGAACGAAGGCAAGTAATCAGGGATAGTTTTATTTGATTGTTTTCGTGCCAAAATCGCGTGTGGGTTTGTGATAAGAGATTGTATTACCTATTATTGTTTTTTTTTTTTTTTTCTGCCTTTTTATTTTATTAAAAATGTTGAATATTAAATTAAGAATCAACACCACAGCGCTCGGAAACTCCCATAAGCGCCCCGTCACCATCTTCAGCAGCGAAGGAAGAGTTCATGTTCCTATGGTACCAGTAACTGTCTGATTGTGCATCCTTCTCGCTTTTCCCTTGAGAGCTGAGAGGCGGCCAGATCTTCTGGTAACTCCCTCATAAGAAAAATGTGGTTCATTCATACAGTCATCACTATCATCATCAGAATAATCATCACCCATGATCATAACTAATCACTATTATTATCCATCGCCAGTCATCATCTCCATCCTCATCCTCCACATCAGCACCATAAATCAGTATCAGTCATCATAATCAATCATCCCCATCAAACATCGTTACCATCAGTCATCATAATCAATCATCCCCATCAAACATCGTTACCATCAGTCATCATAATCAATCATCCCCATCAAACATCGTTACCATCAGTCATCATAATCAATCATCCCCATCAAACATCGTTACCATCAGTCATCATAATCAATCATCCCCATCAAACATCGTTACCATCAGTCACCATAATTAATCATCCCCATCAAACATCGTTACCCATCATCATAATTAATTAATCATCCCATCAAACATCGTTACCATCAGTCATCATA